ATTGTGTAACGACGCTAAAAAGCACACCGTGCAACATTATACATTCAAATAACTCAATTTCCCCCCTTAATCTAGGTCAATTTTATTTATTTTGACCTTCTATAGTTTTACTGATCGTTATTTCCCGCACTAAGAAAACAAACAAATAACAACTACTTTGATCTTCAGGGAGTACCATCAACCTTAATGGCAAGCCAGCTAGTCAGAGCAGTACGTATGTGGATTCTAGTATGGAGTGGTCAGCTGACAGAGCAATTGATGGAGATCCCGACACAGCTTCCCACACAGGTGACTTAGTTTCGATTATTTCAGTGTACTTAACTTAATTGTGATACTGTGAGTTTATTTTGAATTCAATTAATAATATCAATTTGTCTTTCCACTCAATCTGCCATTCTCAATTTTATTACCTAAAGAGAAAATGCACGTTTCGAGAGTGAAATTACGTTGCAAATTTGAATTTGCAAGCGCAACGACCAGTGCAATCGGAAGATGAAGTGCACGTTCTTTTAATGCAACTTTTCACAGACTGCCCCAGTGTTCAGTGGTGGAAGGTTGACCTCCAAGCGATGTACTGTTTCACGAAAATCACTATTGTCAACAGGAGGGATTGCTGTGGTAAGATTTCCAGAGTAATGGCTATGTTACTTATCTTATCAATGCAGTGTTCTTGAAACTCTATTCATTTGATGAAAAGTTAACATTTATATTTACGACATACGTAGTATAATATGAATATATAAATAACAATAAATAAGTCAACGAGGAACTGTGTTCCTTACTGTCTACTGAGCATTTTTTAATCGTGCATTTTATTCATTCAATACATACCAATGAACTAAACGGAATCAAATCGATCATCAAAGATTCGTTTTATACTGAAAACCTTCAAATTCACTTTACATCAAGAATGTCAGATTTCTAAATGTTTAAATACTAGGGGAAAGATTCGAAGGTGCCATAGTGCGGGCTGGTGTGAACTCAGATCAGTCACAAAACACACAGATAGGAGATCCTGTTACATCGACTCAAGCTACCGATGGAGCAGTGATTGATTTCATGGCCAACCTGACAGTGTCTGCTCGATACGTTAGCGTGGAATCGTCTAGGGATTGTCTTCAACTGGCTGAAGTAATGGTTTCTACTAAAGCAAACAGTGAGTATATTGTACTTGATCTCTGTTATTCAAGCTTGGACCACGTGATGCCCTTCAGAAAGCGATAATTTACATTTCAATGGTAAAAAACTCAAAATGAAGACCATGCTCACACACGTTTCTGTGAATTAACGTAATTCAAAGAAACGTGTAACTTACTACGACCAGCACTCGAATCCGCCACTTTTCGGAGTCAAAATTTTGACCCTCATCATCCTTTTCTCGATGTGCAAAAACACACTTGATGAGGGTACAGTTAAGTGACTAATTTCATT